CAGGTCAGGTACCATTAGCCGCTAAGCGCAGGTCACAGGAGTGCACTGTTTGCATTCTAGTGAGAGTAAACATCACAAATCAAGTTAACGTGAAACAGAGAGGTGAAAAGCCTGACATTACATTTACATTTACTCTACAATATGTCACTCTTGAGCTCGTCTCCATGGAGATATTAATATTTTAAATATGTCAATAAAACAAAAGGATTGTATGAAATAAATATGAATCCTAGTCTGAACCAGGATTAAACCAGGACTAAACTAGGACTAAACCAGGACTGAACCAGGACTAAATCAGGATTGAACCAGGATTAAACCAGGACTAAAACAGGACTCAACCAGGTCTAAACTAGGACTAAACCAGGACTAAAAAAAAGGACTGAACCAGGACAAATCAGGACTAAACCAGGAGTAAAACCAGGACTAAACTAGGTCTAAACCAGGACTAAACCAGGTCTAAACCAGGACTAAACCAGGACTAACACCAGGTCTAAACCAGGTCTAAAACCAGGTCTAAACCGCTGAACGTGTCTCCTCTTCTTCTATCAATAATATTTTTAATTTAATTAAAGAAAGTCTGGGTTTTTTATTTTCTTTTATCAGACAAAACTTCTTATGTGAAGATTTCCTCGTTTTGCTTCTCTACAGCAAATCAAGTAATCCAAAGTATTCAGATTACATTACTCACTTTAAGTAATTTAATGGATTATTTTACAAACTACATTTTGGGGTATGTAATCTGTAATCTGTAGGGGATTACATTTTAAAAGTCACCTTCCCAACACTGACCACGTATCACCCTCTTTTCGTCTGACAACATCTTTCCGTTCACCGTGTGCCCTAAACAACCGACATCATTTCCCCGTGAGCTTCCAGTTATTCTTTTTTCTGGCTCTTACTTCCTGTTTATTGCTCCTTTCACCTGACATCACCGACTGCAACAACACGATTGCAAACAAAAGTCTGGCACTAGTTCTGCTCCTTTGGCATTTATGTACGTGTTTTGTAAATCGCTATGGCAACGAGCCTGACTTCTCATCATCCTGAAACCCCCCAAAGAGTTAAAGATGCACTGCGCAGCTTTTCTGGGCGAATCGTCTTTCACCTTCTTGTCTCCCTGGAGATCTTAATGTTTCACTAATGTCCCAGAGTATAGTCACTTTTCGGCTTGTTTCCATGGAGATGTTATGATTTTGACCTGGAATGTTTCAAAATAGTGTATTGTATTGTATTATATATAATTTTATTTTATTTTATGACATTATTATTATTACATTATATTATATTATATTACATTACATTACATTGTATTATTTTATTTTATGACATTATTATATTATGACCTATTATATTACATTACATTACATTATATTATATTATATTATATTATTTTATTACATTATTGGGCCTGGTCAAGCAGAAGTAAACAACAAGGCCAAAAATTCAAGTTAATTCATCTGATATAAAAATGTATTGAACAGATACATATGTACTCTAGTTTATCAAACTGTTGACCTTTTTTCTGTACCGTTTTTGGTTCTAAAGTTCCATCTGTTTTAAACAGACCATGTATGAAACATGGAACAAAAATTATTTTCCAAATTTCAAAGACCCAAAAATCATGTAAATAAACGGATGTATTTCATCATATCTTGTGTTATTCCATCTTTGAACTGTTGGTACATGATTTAAAAAAAAAAAAGTATTTAAAATGATAAAAATGTTCTTGGAAGGACTGACATATTTTATAGAAATAGTTTACTTTCATTTTGAAGTAATATTAAAGTATTCGGAAGAAAAAAGCAACAAATTATATAAAATCCTGCACCTTCTACTTGTTTGTACAATTTTCCCTCCGTTACTTTTCCCTCCGTTACCATGACCTTTCTTAATAAAAAATCTCATGAGTCAAAAAGTAAGAGGTTTTTCAACCTAATCTTGTACCATATGGTAGAAAACTATATGAAGCAAATATTCAAACCAGTTTGTTAAGGATATGTAAGTGAGAACCAAGAGTTATCACTGTTTGGATTTATTGACCAAAAAGTGCTGCATATTTCATTCCCTCCGTTACCAACATGAGTTTTTAAAATTTTTTGTCAACAACTTGAAAGAATCTCACAGGTTTAACTTGACCCTGTTGGAGTGTAACTCTTTCCTACATTCTGATACTTTACTTATTTCAATAGTTCCTCTAGTTTCTGAATAAGAGACATTTGAATGTCAAAAATCTGACCCTGTTTCCCTCCGTTACCACTTGACTGGACCCATTATATTATGACTTATTACATTACATTATATTATTTTATATTATTTTATGACATGATTATATTATGACCTGTTATATTATATTATATTATATTATATTATATTATATTATATTACATTACATTCTTGGTGGTGTTGCCGTATTGTAATTTTAATACCAAAATAAAACAAAATATTATATTTTTTTTAATGCTACAAAGTCTTCAAAATATATGAAGAGGCCCACTGAACTGAAATAACACATTTTTTAACTCTAAAATTCCCTATATTATTTTATTTTATTGTATTTTTTAGTTTAAATTTGAGCGTGCGCAGATTTTCCGGCGTTTTATCTTCTGAGTCTGCGGCGCCTGCTGAGCTCGGATCACGTTGTGTTGTGAAGCGCGGCGGCCTTGACCCTCGTCAGCTGCTGAAACACAAACTCTGGAAATAAAACTCAAACTGTAGGTCAGTGACTCGCGGCAGACGCAGACACAACAGTGAAAATCAATCTGACTGCGACTGCGGCGGTTTTAACGTTTTCTCCTCGTGTGAATCGGCTTTAAAAACACGTCGAATTTCAGCGGATCAGCGATGCAGGCCGACGCGCCGCTGTTACGTGTGCCGAAAAAAACACGTTAATATTTGACATGTTCATACGTGCGAAGATTCGGATTTTGGGTCATGACCTTTGATTAGAAACTGTCACATTTACGGCTCAATCGTGGCTCAATCCTGAACTCTGACCCGTGAAATAATCGGATCTGTTTTATTAGCCATAAAACAGCTGTAAATTAATAAATGTTTAATAAATGCCGTACGTGTCTTTTAGGAAAAGCAAAAATATCTCCATGGAGACGAGCGCGCAGCAGATCCATCCAGAAATGTTACATACTGCACCTTTAGTTCGTTTGTCCCTAAATACGTGTTTTACTCGATAATATTTATGTTTATTTATGAAAGCTCGACAACTGTACAACAGCTCATGCATGAGTAACAGATAATACTCCCTACAACTGTACAACTCAGCCTTATGTAACAGATAATACTCCCTACAACTGTACAACTCACCCTTATGTAACAGATAATACTCCCTACAACTGCACAACTCACCCTTATGCAACAGACATACTCCCTACAACTGTTCAACGACTCAGCCTTATATAACAGATAATACTCCCTACAACTGTTCAACGACTCAGCCTTATATAACAGATAATACTCCCTACAACTGTACAACTCAGCCTTATGTAACAGATAATACTCCCTACAACTGTACAACTCAGCCTTATGTAACAGATAATACTCCCTACAACTGTACAACTCAGCCTTATGTAACAGATAATACTCCCTACAACTGTACAACTCAGCCTTATGTAACAGATAATACTCCCTACAACTGTACAACTCAGCCTTATGTAACAGATAATACTCCCTACAACTGCACAACTCAGCCTTATGTAACAGATAATACTCCCTACAACTGTACAACTCAGCCTTATGTAACAGATAATACTCCCTACAACTGCACAACTCAGCCTTATGTAACAGATAATACTCCCTACAACTGTACAACTCAGCCTTATGTAACAGATAATACTCCCTACAACTGCACAACTCAGCCTTATGTAACAGATAATACTCCCTACAACTGCACAACTCACCCTTATGTAACAGATAATACTCCCTACAACTGTACAACTCAGCCTTATGTAACAGATAATACTCCCTACAACTGTACAACTCACCCTTATGTAACAGATAATACTCCCTACAACTGCACAACTCACCCTTATGCAACAGACATACTCCCTACAACTGTTCAACGACTCAGCCTTATATAACAGATAATACTCCCTACAACTGTACAACAACTTACACTAATGTAACAGATAATACTCCCTACAGCTGTACAACAACTCTTTCTGTAACAGATAATACTCCCTACAACTGTTCGACAACTCACCATTATGTAACATATAATACTCCCTACAACTATACGATTACTCGCCCTCATGTTACAGATAATACTCCCTACAACTATACAACAACTCACCCTTATGTAACAGATAATACTCCTTACAGCTGTACAACAACTCTTTATGTAACAGATAATACTCCCTACAACTGTACAATAACTTACACTTATGTTACAGATAATACTCCCTACAACTGTACTGCACTGTTTTCCTATGACCTCTTGTATAAAGCTTTGATTTTTATATTTTATTACATTACTTTAAATTTTATTTTTGATTTTTATATTTTATTACTTATCTTTCTATTTTTTAAAATATGATTTATTACGTATCTTTGTGTTTTTTTTACTTGTACATTTACATTATTTATATTATTATGTTTTATTTGACACGTGTCTCTTGCTCTTTTTTGCTCCTTATTTAGAATTTTTTACCATTTATATTTTTTCGTCTTTGTTATTATTTTTTATTGTGATGTTTGAGCTGCTGTTTCCAAATAATTTCCCTTGTGGATCAATAAATTTTGTCTAAGTCTCATATTTTGGCGTAAAAGCTTCGTTAAAGAGCATTATTTTTGCTGAAACTTCGCGTCCTCACGTGACTCCGCCGTCGCCATGGCAACGCGCCGGTTCCCCATAAGTGACTGACAGTGGGCGTGGCACGTGCGCTGGGAGGAGGGGGGCGTCGTCTCTGATTGGAGCAGAGCGGGCGCGTGAAGGACGTCAGCGTTTATAAATGCGTCTGTTCGTGCGCAATCAGCTGGACTCGCTCGGACCGACGCAAGCGCGCGCACACACACGCACGGGACCAGAACCGGACCACGGGAGGAGACCCAGACCCAGACCCGGACTAAAGCGGGACCAGAGGCGGGTCTAAGCGGCGGAAGGACGAAAGGAGCGGAGACCCAGAGACGCAGAGGACACCGGGGGAGGACGTGTCAAACGGCGCGTGCTTTATCTCGAGCCCAAACAGAAAACAGCTGCTCGGATCGGCGCACGCGGACGGTGAGCGCGTTGGGCTTTTAAAGATAAGATTTTCTTTTTAAACGTGACGCCTTTTTCCTCCACCCTTTTCGCTCAAACTGCAGCTCCACACAGAATAATCGGCCCAGCTATTCATATCTTGTTACTTAAAGCCCCGTTTTATCCCCTGACACAATTAGAATCGGCTATTTCTGTTTTGGACGAGCGTAAACCGCTGCACGTGAGCACGTAACGATCTTTTTACGTCGTTTATTACGCAAAATAAACTCTCGTGAGCTTTAAGTCGCGCTATAATGATGTTTACTCCTCAAAAACAGACCTGCAGTTGTTTTGTTTCATTCAAATATGTGAAATTCTTGGCAAAATGTTGGTAATGTTTGATTAAAAACATGAAAAACATGAAAAAGGTGGCATTAAAGGTAAAATTTCTACCAAAAGACTGCAAAGTATGGGGTGAATTAAGTTAAAAGTAGTAAAAATCTTTGGAAAAATATTTGAAATTCTTTGCAAAATGTTGGCAATATTTGAGTAAAAACATGAAAAATACTCAAAAAGGTGAAATTAAAAGCAAATTTTTTTTACCTCAAATACAACAAAGTATGGGGTCAATTTAGTTAAAAGTAGTTAAAATATGGGAAACTATTTGAAATTCTTGGCAAAATGTTGGTAATATTTAACTAAAAACATGAAAAATACTAAAAAAGATATTTTTTTCTACTTGTAAATTGTTAAAAGTTTGGAAAATATCTGAAATTCTTGGCGATATTCTGTTTCTTCCTCAAAAACAGACCTGAAGTTGTTTTGTTTCATTCAAATATGTGAAATTCTTTTTGTAATGTTTGACTAAAAACATGAAAAACATGAAAAAAGTTACATTAAAGGTAAAATTTCTACCAAAAGGCAGCAAAGTATGCAATTTTGACAAATAATTTTTGGCAAAACTTTGGTAATGTTTGACTACAAACATGAAAAATACTAAAAAAGGTCATGTTAAAAGTCACATTTGCACTTGTAAATTGTTAGAATTTGGTAATGTTTAACTAAAAACATGAAAAATACTGAAAAGGTGACCATTAAAAGTAAAATATCTACCGCAACAACAGCAAAGTATGGGGTCAATTTAGTTAAAAGTAGTTAAAATTTTGGGAAATATGTGAAATTCTTGGCAAAATTTTAGTAATGTTTGACTAAAAACATGAAAAATACAGTAAATGTGTCATTAAAAGTAAAATTTCTACTTTGTTTAATTGTTAAAATTTGTTAAAAGTCGTGAAAATATCTTTAATTCTTGGCGATATCAGGTACATGAGTCTGTTTTTGATTTCCAATTTGATAAAAAATGAAATAACAGAATTGTAATCGAAATAAAATCCACAAATGTTGAATCTTACCGAACATTTGTGGACCCGATCCCCAACCGAGAATTATATTAAACGCTCTGTTCCACCTTGTGATGTCATGATGTGGTGGTTTTCACGTGAACAGCTTCCTTCTCTCCGTGGAGATGCTGCCTGGAATGTTCCACAGTCTGGCATTACACATATTTACCTCTACAGAAACAGCGGGTGATGCTACAGGACCAAGTTACGTGTCAGATCTGTGGAGAGGCGAGCCCAAGAACGAGAGTTTTTAGGTCAATTAAAAACACCACACCCGGATGTTCTCGACGAAACTATAACATCTCCATGGACCCTCCACCAGAAAAGTTACACAGTGCACCTTTAAACGCAGGACTACTACTACTACTACTACTACTACTACTACTACTACTACTACTACTGCTACCACTGCTTTAATGCCATACTGTGGACCATTCCAGGCAAAGTGATATAGTTTCCATGGAGACAAGTAGGTGCAGGTGAGATGTATTTGATTTATTTATTACTTTATTTCTACATTTTATTTTTAATTTTTAATTAATACATTTTTATTTCTACATTATAATTATTTATATTTGTATTTTTATAATTTTTTTTATTTCTACATTTTATTTTATTTATTTTATTTTATTTGTATTTTTATTTAATTTCATTTCTACATTTTATTTTTATATATTTATTTTTTTTTTTTATATTTTTATTAAAATTTTATCTCTACATTTAATTTTATTTTTTTTAAATTATTTTTATTTGTATTTTTATTTAATTTGTATTTCTGCGTTTTATTTTCATTTTTTTGTGTTTTTTGTTTGTAATTTTACGGCTCCTTTTTGCATTTAAATCAGCAAAGATTGGCAATTCCTGGTCTGAAATGATCCAAATGATCCTAGTGAAGGTGTTTAGAGTTTAAAAACACAGTGGAGCACTTCCTGTATTACTGCGTGACATCACAAGGTGGAGCAGAGCGTTTCTAGGAAGAAGAAATCTGTAGGGTTTGTGTGTTAAAACAAAACACAGGCTTTAAAAGTGCGTTGTGTAACTTTTCTGGTGGAGGATCCATCAAAAAAAAAAGTCTTTTCTTGTCCGGAATGTTCCACAGTATGGCTTTAAACCTTTCTATTTTCATGGAGACCAAACCAGACCAAGTTACAGGTCAGATCTGTGGAGAGGCGACCCCGTTGTTTCAATCACAGGTGGTTTTACAGCTCAAAAATACTTAGAAAAACAGACATTCTGACTGTGAGCGGGGTCGCCTCTCCACAGACCTGACCTGTAACTTGGTCTGGTTTAGTCCTGTTTTAGACAGTGTATAGTCCTGTTTTAGTCCTGTTTTAGACCTTGTTTAGACCTTGTTTAGTCCTGTTTTAGACTCTGTTTAGTCCTGGTTTAGTCCTGTTTTAGACCTTGTTTAGTCCTGTTTTAGACCTTGTTTAGTCCTGTTTTAGACCTTGTTTAGTCCTGTTTTAGACCTTGTTTAGTCCTGTTTTAGACCTTGTTTAGTCCTGTTTTAGACTCTGTTTAGTCCTGGTTTAGTCCTGGTTTAGTCCTGGTTTAGTCCTGTTTTAGACAGTGTATAGTCCTGTTTTAGTCCTGTTTTAGACCATGTTTAGTCCTGGTTTAGTCCTGTTTTAGACCGTGTTTAGTCCTGGTTTAGTCCTGTTTTAGACCTTGTTTAGTCCTGGTTTAGTCCTGTTTTAGACCATTGTTTAGTCCTGGTTTAGTCCTGTTTTAGACCTTGTTTAGTCCTGGTTTAGTCCTGTTTTAGACCATGTTTAGTCCTGGTTTAGTCGTGGTTTTAGACCTTGTTTAGTCCTGTTTTAGACCTTGTTTAGTCCTGGTTTGGTCCTGTTTTAGACCATGTTTAGACCATGTTTAGACCATGTTTAGTCCTGGTTTAGTCCTGGTTTAGTCCTGTTTTAGACTGTGTTTAGACCGTGTTTAGTCCTGTTTTAGACCGTGTTTAGTCCTGGTTTAGTCCTGGTTTAGACCTTGTTTAGACCTTGTTTAGTCCTGTTTTAGACCATGTTTAGTCCTGGTTTAGTCCTGTTTTAGACCATGTTTAGTCCTGGTTTAGTCCTGTTTTAGACCGTGTTTAGTCCTGGTTTAGTCCTGTTTTAGACCGTGTTTAGTCCTGGTTTAGTCCTGGTTTAGACCATGTTTAGTCCTGGTTTAGTCCTGTTTTAGAATAAAAAGAAACAGAAAACGCACACCAAGATTCCTGCAGAGGTGCAAATGCAAGGAGCAGCCAGATCAGGTTGAACAAATGCATCGCACACTGGGTTGGCCGATGTCCAAATACTATTTTATTAACAAAATAACGTTTCGGCAAAAAAAGCCTTCATCAGATATTTCTCTTGTCCTGGACCACAGCACACAGCCACTGTGCCCAAACGTTATTTTGTTATAAAATAGTATTTGGACATCGGCCAACCGAGTGTGCGATGCATTATATCACCCTGATTAGTCCTGTTTTAGACCATGTTTAGTCCTGGTTTAGTCCTGTTTTAGACCATGTTTAGTCCTGGTTTAGTCCTGTTTTAGACCATGTTTAGTCCTGGTTTAGTCCTGGTTTAGTCCTGGTTTAGTCCTGTTTTAGACCATGTTTAGTCCTGGTTTAGTCCTGGTTTAGACCTGGTTTAGTCCTGGTTTAGTCCTGGTTTAGTCCTGAGAATCACGAGAATCCGTTTTATTTTCATCGACACATTTCTCAAACGGAAACTGTCTCGTGTTTTTTGGTGCAACACAAAACAATAGAATAAAAATAAGGGCATTACATCAGCGTGAGTCGGTCAAATACAAGAGTTTAAGACTCGACAAACGAAAACGTTCACAAAAACTACGTCAATCGCTTGTGTTTCGTTTGTGTGATTTATGGTTATTAAGATTTTTGCGGTTTTATTTTCGACTGATGACCTCCCGAAAATGTTAAAATGTGCAAAAAATGACAAACTATTACATAAATTCTTTCCGTTTTGAGTAGGAATGTTAAAAATATCGAAATATTGTATCGTTTAATGTGATGATACAGTATCGATTAGGGCTGGTATCATTAAAAAGTTGTCGATACGATACATATCTCGATACATCGGCCATGATACGATATGTTCTTAGATACAGTGAACTTTCGATTCGATACGATATATTTTCAGTGTTGGGGAGTAACAGATTACATGTACCAGAGTAATCAGAGTACAAATGATGAGTAACTGTATTCAGTTACAGTTACTGTTTCAGTGAGTGGGAATTGGATTACAGTTACTTTGTTGAAATAAATGGATTACACAGACGTATTTTTCTGTTTTCACATTTTGGGCTAAATCCCTTTTTTAATCTTTTTTTTTTTTTGGTAATTCCACTCACTGCCGGACACTAAACCAGGACTAAATCAGGATTGAACCAGGACTGAACCCAGGTCTAAACCAGGACTAAAACCAGGTCTAAACTAGATCTAAACCAGGTCTAAACCAGGGCTAAACCACAACTAAACTAGGGCTAAACCAAGACTAAAACCAGGTCTAAATCAGGACTAAACCAGGACTAAAACCAGGTCTAAACCAGGCCTAAAACCATGTCTAAACCAGGTCTAAAACCAGGACTAAAACCAGGTCTAAACTAGATCTAAAACAGGACTAAAACAGGACTAAACCAGGACTAAACCAGGTCTAAACTAGATCTAAAACAGGACTAAAACAGGCTTTAATAGGACAAAACGATGCCGTGTGGATCTCTTCCTCTTCTTCTATCAATAATATTTTTAATTTGGTTTAGTAAAGTCTGGACTTTTTATTTTCTTTTAACAGACAAAACTTCTTATGTTACAATATCCTCGTCTTTGTTTCTCTACAGCAAATCAAGTAATCCAAAGTATTCAGATTACATTACTCACTTTAAGTAATTTAATGGATTATGTTACAAACTACATTTTGGGGTGTGTAATCTGTAATCTGTAGGGGATTACATTTTAAAAGTAAACTTCCCAACACTGTTTATTTTTAATCGATTTGATACGATTCACCAGGTCTGAACCAGGACTAAACCAGGTCTGAACCAGGACTAAACCAGGTCTGAACCAGGACTAAACCAGGACTGAACCAGGTCTGAACCGGGTCTGAACCGGGTCTGAACCGGGTCTGAACTGGGTCTGAACCGGGTCTAAACTGGGTCTAAACTGGGACTAAACCGGGACTAAACCAGGATGAAAATAGGACTAATCCAGGTCTAAACCAGGTCTAAACCAGGTCTGAACCAGGTCTGAGCCAGGATGAAAACAGGTCTAAACCAGGACTAAACCAGGACCAAACCAGGACTGAGATCTAATCAAAAATCAAAGTTTTAGGAAAAACTTTGTATATTTTAACGTGCGTGTATTTTAACGTGTGTGTATTTTAACATGTGTGTATTTTAACGCGTGCGTATTTTAACGCGTGCGTATTTTATCGTGCGCGTATTTAACGTGTGTGTATTTTAACGCGTGCGTATTTTAACGTGTGTATTTTATCGTGCGCGTATTTAACGTGCGTGTATTTTAACGCGCGCGTATTTTAACGTGTGTATTTTAACGCGCGTGTATTTTAACGTGCGTGTATTTTAACGTGTGTATTTTAACGTGTGTGTGTATTTTAACGTGTGTGTTTTAACGTGTGTTTTAACGTGTGTGTTTTATCGTGCGCGTATTTAACGTGCGTGTATTTTAACGTGCGTGTATTTTAACGTGCGTGTATTTTAACGCGTGTATTTTATCGTGCGCGTATTTAACGTGCGTGTGTATTTTAACGTGCGCGTATTTTAACGTGTGTATTTTAACGTGTGTATTTTAACGTGTTTTAACGTGTGTATATTTTAACGTGTGTATTTTAACGTGTGTGTGTGTGTATTTTAACGCGTGTGTATTTTAACGCGTGTGTATTTTAACGTGTGTATTTTAACGTGTGTGTGTATTTTAACGTGTGTATTTTAACGTGTGTGTATTTTAACATGTGTGTATTTTAACGCGTGCGTATTTTAACGCGTGCGTATTTTAACGCGCGTGTATTTTAACGCGCGCGTATTTTAACGTGCGTGTATTTTAACGCGTGCGTATTTTAACGTGTGTGTTTTTAACCTGTGCGTGTATTTTAACGTGTGTATATTTTAACGTGTGTATTTTAACGCGTGCGTATTTTAAACGTGTGTGTGTTTTAACCTGTGCGTGTATTTTAACGTGTGTATATTTTAACGTGTGTATTTTAACGCGCGTGTATTTTAACGCGCGCGTATTTTAACGTCTGTGTATTTTAACGTGTGTGTTTATTAACGCGTGCGTATTTTAACGCGTGCGTATTTTAACGCGTGCGTATTTTAACGCGTGCGTATTTTAACGTGTGTATTTTATCGTGCGCGTATTTAACGTGCGTGTATTTTAACGCGCGCGTATTTTAACGTGTGTATTTTAACGCGTGTGTATTTTAACGTGTGTATTTTAACGTGTGTGTTTTAACGTGCGTGTATTTTAACGTGTGTATATTTTAACGTGTGTGTTTTAACGTGCGTGTATTTTAACGTGTGTGTATTTTAACGCGCGTGTATTTTAACGTGCGTGTGTATTTTAACGTGCATGTATTTTAACGCGTGCGTATTTTAACGTGTGTGTGTTTTAACCTGTGCGTGTATTTTAACGTGTGTGTATTTTAACGTGTGTATTTTAACGCGCGTGTATTTTAACGTGTGTGTATTTTAACGTGCGTGTATTTTAACGTGCGTGTATTTTAACGCGTGTGTATTTTAACGTGTGTGTGTATTTTAACGTGTGTGTATTTTAACGTGTGTATTTTAACGCGTGTGTTTTAACGTGCGTGTATTTTAACGTGTGTGTGTTTTAACCTGTGCGTGTATTTTAACGTGTGTGTATTTTAACGTGTGTATTTTAACGTGTGTATTTTAACGTGTGTGTATTTTAACGTGTGCGTATTTTAACGTGTGTGTATTTTAACGTGTGTGTGTTTTAACCTGTGCGTGTATTTTAACGTGTGTATATTTTAACGTGTGTATTTTAACGTGTGTATTTTAACGCGTGTGTTTTAACGTGCGTGTATATTTTAACGTGTGTGTATTTTAACGCGTGTGTATTTTAACGTGTGTGTATTTTAACGTGTGTGTATTTTAACGTGTGTGTATTTTAACGTGTGTATATTTTAACGTGTGTATTTTAACGCGTGTGTTTTTAACGTGCGTGTATTTTAACCTGTGTGTGTATTTTAACGTGTGTGTATTTTAACGTGTGTGTATTTTAACGTGCGTGTATTTTAACGTGTGTATATATTGTCCGTGTTTTGTGGCAGAGATGGCGTTGAGTTCTATCGTGGAGTTCTCGGTGGAGCTGGACCGGCCCGGGGACGCGGCGTTCACGGGGGGCGAGGTGGTGAGCGGGCGCGTGGTCCTGGAGCTCCGGCGGGACACGCGGGTCCAGGCCCTGAAGGCGCAGGGCCGCGGCGTCGCCACGGCGCACTGGCTCGAGAACAGAGGCATGAACTCCGTCTACAACGACTACACCTCCAAAGTGACCTACTTCAGGAAGAGGCAGCACCTGATCAGAGGTCAGAGGTCACACGAAGGAGGGCGGGGGGGCGGGGGGGGGGGCACAGGTCACATGATTCTGCAGCTTGTTTTTTAAAAGTCCCTGGGTCGTGATGCTAACTGGAGACACTGCTCTGTCTGAGGGTCTGTTAGACTTGAATCGACTTTAGTCAGAAGTTTTTCAGTTACTGTATTTTTCGGTCTATAAGTCGACGTTCAGACTGCAGGGTTTAACGCTCAATTCCAATTTTTTTGTGAAATCCGATGTTTTTTCGAGGTCGTTCACATTTCCAATTAAATGTGACTTGTATGTGACTCCAGTGTGAACATTAAACGATTCAAAAGTGTCCCACATGTGACACTGGAGACACGACGACGTCAACCGCAGCGAGCGTCTCTGTGTTTACAGAAGTTGTCCAAACATGGACGCAGCATCGAGCACCTGGAGATTTTAAAGTTCCTCTCGTACCGGAGCCAGAACATGAACAACTTACTTGTTTTAAGGAGGAGATTGAGAAGGAGAAGGACGAGGTTTTTGGTCGTGGTGTTTTGTGGTGAGTGGTGATGTGCTTCACTTCAGTGACACAGAGTTCATCAATAATTTTTGCCGACTTCAGCGCAGAATAGTGACGTTTGTGTCTTGTTGATAACGTGTAGGTGGATGAATGTGACCTGACCGTTCAGACTGAAGTCACATGTTAAAGATCAGATATGTATCGGTTTCAGGAGCACAGATCCAAGTGTCCTGGGTCACATTTGAAAAAATCTGATCTGTGTGGTTCAGACTGACATTAAAATATCAGATACAGGAACATAGAGGCCAAAAAATTGGATTTGGGTCACTTCAGGTGCAGTGTGAACATGGCCTATGTCTCTGGGTTTGGTCAGGGAACCTTGGGGTCACCCTGGAGGAGCTGGAGGAAGTGTCCGGGGTGAAGGGGCCTCCGTGCCTCAGTAGTTCAGGTGGTAGAGCGTTGGTCCATTGATCTGAAGGTTGGCAGTTCAAATTTAATCGAATGTCCAGCTCTAGTACTGATGTCAAATTTTCTCCAAATTTCAGGCATAAACCTCCACTGCTGAGTCACTCTGACTCAGCAAACTCAAAGAACAAACACATGAACCAAGTGACATAAGCACATTTAACATGATAAAAATGTCTATGCAGATACACGTTCAATTTTAAACCAAATATTAAACATATAACCCAATACAAAATAACATTTTATTTATACATTTATTCAAAATCTAAATAATCATAAAGATTAAAATTAAAAACAGTATTAAAAAAAGTATTAACTTTGCACAAACTTAATGGACTTTTAGTATCACTGACATGATTTAGTGTTTGAAAGTTCAATGGATCCAATAAATAAATTTAAAAAATCTAATAATCTAAAGTTCAGGTAAAAACTAAACTTTAACATCAGTTTTGGTTAGTAATTCTCAACAGTAGTAGTAGTAGTAGTAGTAGTAGTAGTAGTAGTAGTAGTAGTAGTAGTATTTGCTGCAACAGTGTGTAGTAGTAGTTTTTTGTGTTGCATATACTACTACTATAGTTTTACTATAGTAGTATAGTAGTACTGTTACTTTTACAATTGATACAAGTCCTATCACTACTACTACTACTACTACTGCTACTACTACTACTACTACTACTACTACTACTACTACTACTACTACTACTATAGGCTTACTAGACCAGGACTAAAACAGGACTAAACCGGGACTAAACCGGGACTAAACCGGGACTAAACCGGGACTAAACTGGGACTAAACCGGGACTAAACTGGAACTAAACCAGGACTAAACCGGGACTAAACCAGGACACCAGGACAAAAAACAGAACTAAAACAAGAACTAAAAACAGGACTAAATCATGCTGTGTGGACGTGTCTCCTCGTTTAATTTGTTTAAGTAAAGTCTGTGATTTTTTTATTGTCTTTTAGATAAAACATCTTATGTTACGATTTCCTCGTCTTTGTTTCTCTACAGCAAATCAAGTAATCCAAAGTAATCAGATTACATTACTCACTTTAAGTAATTTAATGTATTATGTTACAAACTACATTTTGAGGTATGTAATCTGTAATCTGTAGGGGATTACGTTTTAAAAGTCACCTTCCCAACACTGGGAGCGGAGCACTTCCTGTATCGCCACACGATGACATCACAAGGTGGTGTTTTGCGTTTGTCTGAGAGACGAGGAAAATGGCGTAACACGGGCCCTTTAAATCACCGTTTGTGCCGTGTTTTTGTTTTGAGTACGGAGAGTGAAAGAGCGAGGAGGAAGAGGAGGAAGAGGAGGAGGAAGGGGGGGGGTCTCGGTTTGTAAAACGCCGTGCCCGGTTACCGCGACGACAGAAAAACATCTGGCCCCCCCTCCCCTCTGTGTTGTGCAGCTGGTACCACGTTTCCCCCATTCATCTGATAAAACACAACGACCACAAAGAGCTGCTGGTCTGCGCTCGGAGAATGACCCTTTCATTCTGACAAATTAACTTCTGTTTCAGATGTTTTTGTTGATTTGGAAAAGGAAATTTGTTGTTTACTTTCCGATAATAATAGTAAAAAGTGTTTATGTAATCGGCTGACGAGTAGGGGTGTGGAAAAATATTGAAATATCGATATATCGTTTCATTTAATTTGATGATACAGTGCTGACATTGAGTATTTTTACACTGGAATAAAACAATATCTAGCCAAATTAAAATGACTTAAATGAAGAATATTTTACTTTAATTTGAGTCGATTCAGCTTGACAAATAAAATTATCTGCCAATGGAATAAATGTTTTTCTTAATTCAAGCAACATTTCATTTTGTTTCTTATTTTAGATGCAAAAAGTCTTATTCCACTGCAGATCGTTTTACTCGTCAAGTGAAATTTGCTCAAATCATGATAAAACTTTCTTAATTCAAGTCGTCTTAACTTAACTAGATTTAGTTTTTTTGCAGTCAAAGTGTGTATTACGAAATTATTTAATGTACGAGCTGCAGTTGTGTTGATATTTCCACAGTTTTGAGTAAAAATTGGTGTTTTTCGTATTAACTTTGCACAAACTTAGTGGACTTTTAGTATCACAGACATGATTTAGTGTTTGCTTTTCACAGAACAGTATCGAATCGATTTGAAATATATCGTATTGAATCATATTAAATTGAAAGTGCACGGTATCGAAAAACATATCGTATCGTGGTATGTATTATATTGGCAACTTCTTAATGAATCACAGCCCTATTGACGAGTGGAAGTGTGCAAAAATATCAAACTATCGATATATCGTTTTGATAAATGTAATGATACAGCATCGATATCGTGGGCTGCTGTTTCGATATATCACCAAGAGTATTTTTTGGTTTAATTTACTAAATTATTTTGTTACAGCTACAGTTTTGTTGTTTGTTTAGATCAGGGGTGTCAAACTCATTTTGGTCCGGGGGCCGTATCCAACCGACTTTGATTCCAAAGGGGCTGGATCAGAAAACAGAAAATATTTACCCCAAAAATAACAATAAGTTCTAATATTTGTGCAGAGAAACACAAATCTATTATCTTTTTTAATTGATGAACTCTTTCTTTTACAAAATATTATAATATTAACCTGAAACTTTAAGAAAAATACAATTTCAACACAATGTTTTAACATGAACTTGTTTTACATTAACTTGTGTAAATAGGAATAAGTACATTTTTCTTAGAAAATCCTGCACTCGGCTCCACTTTTCTCATGTTGGACATTTTTCTGATGAGGGTGTCACGGTCAACAGTCAAAACGATCGTCCTTTAAGAGCGTTTGGAAAGAGACAAGTCTTCATTTGTGCTGCTCTGGTGGGAGGGGCCACGTACAGAGACGCTGGAGACGCTGCTGTGCTCAGAAAATTAACAATATTTTAATAAAAACAGAATCAAAATATTTTAGTAGAAAATCAGCTGAGGGCCAGATTAAAGGTCTTGGAGGGCCGGATCTGGCCCCCGGGCCGTATGTTTGACACCTGTGGTTTAAAGAAAGGAAACTCGTTTATGTGATACATTCGACATTTTCACTGTTTTGATGATTAAAATGTTTGTGTTTCAAATGAACTTTGCACAAGAAGTGGTTTAACAAAGACTTTTAGTATCACAGACATGATTTAACCTTTATTTTTTATTGAATCGTATCGAAAAAATAAAAAAATATGTCGTATCAAACCGAAAGCGCTTCGTATCGATATGTATCGTATCGGAAACTTCAAATTTTAGTTTAACGTAGGGATGTAACAGTATCATAATATCTCTTAATTTCTTTCATAATACAAATTGGAATTGGGCTGGAACGGAGCAAAGGATCATGGTCTATGTAGTTCTCTCTAAGTCTCTTGGGTCGTTGGGTGAATTTAAGAAAAGCAAAGTACTTCTGAAATACTGTTTTGTGAAGAGTCCAGACCCGGCACAGAGACGTGTGACCTCACCCGCTCGTCTCCGTGGATACGCATTTAATTTAATGCCATACTGTGGGACATTATAGTCACAGAAGTATCAAGCGCCTGAAAAGCAGCTTTAATATTACTGTAAAGTTCATTTTAAAAGTTTTTATGAAAAGTTAGAGGCCGAGTATGTGTTGATGTGTACTTTTTCACTATCAATGCATTGTCAAAATACTGTCAATATTACTACTACTACTGTTACTACTACTAGTATTACTACTACTACTACTACTACTGACTACTACTACTATTACTACTTACTACCTAAGACTACTACTATCTACTTACTACTACTACTAGTATTACTACTACTACTACTACTACTGACTACTACTACTATTACTACTTACTACCTAAGACTACTACTATCTACTTACTACTACTTCTTACTACTACTACTACTTACTTGTGCTACCTACTTCTACTTACTACTTACTACTACTACTACTACTGCTACTACTACTATTATTAGCTACTACTACTACCTCATCTATTATCTACTTCTACCACTACTGCTATCTACTACTATCTACTTACTACTACTTTCTACTTACTAC